CTTTTGACACTGTTAACCACAAGGCTTTAAGTTTTCCCTATGTAAATATATTTTATATATATAAATATATTTCATTCATAAATATATTTCAAATGTAAATATACTCCATATGTAAATATATTCCATATGTAGATATATTTCACTATTAAAATTTATTTCATATATGTAATTCATATAACTTTATTTTACTAATGATATTTGTATGTGTTAACCGTTTATCCCAGGAGGAAAATGGCAGCTGTTATAGGAAATCCAGGAAGTTCCCAACCCATCCTATTCCCCACTCGCGTACCCCCTGAAGTCCAAACACTAACGAAAGCAGCCAGTAAGATGGACAAACCACTGTTTCGCAAGATGATCAAATGTAAGTTTTTTTTCCTGCTTACGGTTGATTTATATGCAGTTAGTATTTTTTGTTGTTCTTAAGAAAAAAATAAGAATAATTTTTAGGCATAAGATTGTCTTACATCTTCATGACGGAGGACTGACAGCTGTCATGTGTTACAGTGGCACTGGGGTATCTCCAGGGAACTCTAACCCCAGAAGAATGTGAGGCAAGCATGCAACAGTTGTGTGAATCCAGTAGCCCTTCATTAACTGAAGAAAATGTAATGGTATGTGTTAACTAATATTTTTTTTTTTTTCATTTACTTAATTGTTAATGAATCAAGTGTACAATATGTGGTTGTTTTCCCTTTGCTAAATGGAATTCATATTTGGAAATGTAATTAACATGTTAATGATATTATATTCATGGTAAGTTTTCAGCAGTTTAACTAATGTTTAAAAAAATCAACAAATCCACATAATATTCTTTCTTTTCCCCTAAAGAATGTAAGCATACAGTATGCAGGTGTTATTACATTACTAAGGACAGCTCTGAGGATAAATACAGTAACAACTCGACAAGACATGCTGGCTGTGGATCTTAAAAACCTTGGGTAAGGTGTAGTTTCCAAGTTTACCAGGGTAAGTCACTTAAATCATAATGAAACATCTATTCTCATCTTCTTCATATCCAGGAGCAGATAAATTAAAAGAGTTGGAAATTAGTTCATTTTCAAAATTTAATATGCCATTTTTAAATGTGTAAATATAAAAATGAATATTTCAGGTTGCCAGAGGAATTTGCTTCAGATGTCTGTAAGGTTGTGTATGGTCCTGCTCGTCCAGATATAGACTCCCAGCTGATTGCTGCTTCCCCATCACTTCCACATTTGAGTAATCTAGAGTGGAGAGTAGAAGTCACAATTTCTACGAGGTTTGTATATATAGGCTAGAATTTAAATAGGTCTTCTCCATCAAAATGCTTAAGTAATTAATATAACTGATTATACAATTCTCTGTGTATTTTGGCATTAATAATATTAAAGATATTTTTGATAAATTATAAGAAATTATATAATAGTACTAAATTATAAGTATTGATAATAGTGCTTTGTCAAATTTCAATAATTTAATTGATAAGAAATTATATAATAGTACTAAATTATAAGTATTAATAATAGTGATTTGTCAAATTTCAATAATTTAATTGCAATTCATTCCACAGCTGGTTGTCTCGTGTACTGGAGCCTGTTGTTATGATGAGGATGAGTACAAGTGATGGAGCACTGCACACATTTCAAGTCCCCCTCTCAAAATTTCACCAACTTAGGTTTACTGTTGCCAACCTTCTACGGCAGATGGAGGCTCTAAAAGAATCACCCCTTTGTAAAAAGTAGTTTCCCAATTATGATTGCGTTGCTTGGAATATGCTTTGTTTATTGCCAGATTAATTGATTTCCTGTTTAAGTCTCAGTCTTTATGGGTTAAATAAATATATGTATATTTATAAAGATCAATTTTACTATGCATTCCAAAAACTGCCAAAAACTCAGTTTTGTAATTTTTGATAGGAGTTGAATTCCATTATAAAGAATAGATTATCTTTAATTCCAGACATTGAAATAATAGTCAGTCACATAATGCCATATTATTATTATGAATTTGGTTATTATTTGCATATGTTATCTTGTATTTACATGTATATACAATGCATACATTGTTTAAATTATTGTTATGTATATAAAATGTATTTTGGTATAATATATCTACTGAAAAATGTTGCTACTCAAATTGCGAGAATAAATGCAGCACTTTTAAATTTGTTTGAATGGTGGTTGGAATAAGTCAATGCCATGTTATATATTTGTTCCAATAAAGCCTTTTTACAAGTATTGTAATTGGTGAATACAAAAATCAATCAATTATTATTACAAAAAATAATTATTGGTGATTCATCATCTCAAGATTAAACCAAAGGCCTATATAGAGATATATTTTTTATATTTAATTGGCTGAAAAGGTTAATTAAAAAGAACTGACTTTTTCTTATTTTATTCAAAAAGTTAAGTCATTCACACATCTATGATACACAAATCACCTAACTCATACTTCTCTGAAAAATTTGGGTCCCTAGTGTTACTGTGTTTTTTTAGTATACAATGGCAAATTTCATCAACCCAGCCACACCTGAATCCTGCAAAGAAAAAAGAATTAAATTAATGACAAAAAGGTATGATAAATTATAAAGATTCCTGTTTCTATAATGAAAGATTCCTATTTTCTTATTCATATCACTCTTTAATGTACAGTATATTAAGGGGGCTGGCATCATCAAATCTGGATATCTTTAATCCCTTAACGCCGGGTGACGCCAATAGGCGTGAAAACAAACCGCTCAAAAGCTGGCGTGCGGCTGTACGCAGCGGCAGTGTGCCAAAGAGTTTTTTTTTTTTTTTTTGTATTCTTCACCTGGCACCATTGGGTTAACCCATTGCCGCTGGGGATGGCATGTACGTACTTGTCATGCCCACTGTGAGTCAACTTGTTTGATTGTTTTTACAACATAGATGGCTACACTTGTACTAAGTCACCAATGAGCCAATTACGAATACTGCCTGTCTCGCCCATTCACACTTCTCATCGCTAAAAATAACATCATCTACATTTATAGCACTAGTAAGAATATGTTTTTTCCTGCCAATTCAAGGAAAGGTGAAATCAGGACTAGCAGAGCCATCTATGGACAGAGATATTTCACAAAAATATAAAAAATGAGGACAGTATTTTCCCCATTTTTTGTTAATTTTCCCCGGTAGCAATGGGTTAATATGGGGCCTAGATTTTTAAATTTACTATTTTTTTTTTTCTGGTTGGTATCACTAAAAGAGATAAAATATTAATGTCATTTATCTTTTTTGGTGCACTATATTGTTGGGCTAACTTCTCATAATGAACAATGAAACTTGAAGAAAAAATTCAGTGATATCCTTCACTTATTACTAGAAGTTTTACCACTGATTTTTTTTATACTCCTTTTATTAGTTTCAATATTTGAGTGAATTTTCAAGAAAATCATTTGGTTTCAAAAAAAAAAAAAAAAAAAAAAAAAAAAAAAAAAAAAATATATATATATATATATATATATATATATATATATATATATATATATATATATATATATATATATATATATATATAAATAAAATTATCTGTACCAAAAATTGTATACTTTCTACTCTACACAATGCAACATAAATGAAGAAAATCAGACATGTGCAAACAATGTTATAAGTAAAAAAGCTTAAAAAGACAGAACTGGCAAGTTATCAGACATAGCAACACTGTACAGACTTAAATTGCTGTCACCTTGGCTTGTTGAGAGCTTAAATATACTAGAGAGTACCTAGATGTTGATTTAAGTGAATTCTAGGAGCGCATGCTTTAGACACAACTTGCCCCCCATTTTGCATGAGAGCAACAAAAAAGGCCACTTTTTATTTTTTTATTTCCTTACCAAACTGTCACAATCTAGGGCAGTGTTGCCAAATCACTCCCCATTTATTATTATTATTATTATTAATTTATTATTATTTGAGAGAGAGAGAGAGAGAGAGAGAGAGAGAGAGAGAGAGAGAGAGAGAGAGAGAGAGAGAGAGAGAGAGAGAGAGAGAGAGAGAGAGAGAGAGAGTGAGAGAGTGAGAGTGAGAGTGAGAGTGAGAGTGAGAGAGAGAGTGAGAGAGAGAGAGAGAGAGAGAGAGAGAGAGAGAGAGAGAGAGAGAGAGAGAGAGAGAGAGAGAGAGAGAGAGAGAGAGAGAGAGAGAGAGAGAGAGAGAGAGAGAGAGAGAGAGAGAGAGAGAGAGAGAGAGAGAGAGAGAGAGAGAGAGTGAGAGTTAGAGAGAGAGTGAGAGTTAGAGAGAGAGTGAGAGTTAGAGTTAGAGAGAGAGTGAGAGTGAGAGTTAGAGAGAGAGTGAGAGTGAGAGTTAGAGAGAGAGTGAGAGTTAGAGAGAGAGTGAGAGTTAGAGAGAGAGTGAGAGTTAGAGAGAGAGTGAGAGTTAGAGAGAGAGAGAGAGTGAGAGAGAGAGAGAGAGAGAGAGAGAGAGAGAGAGAGAGAGAGAGAGAGAGAGAGAGAGAGAGAGAGAGAGAGAGAGAGAGAGAGAGAGAGAAATACCTGACTGAAAATTAAGGTGACAGTCCCCATAAAGGAAAATAAACAAAGAAATGTTGTGATTAAACAGGGAAAGAACGAAAGATACTCCCCAGCAATATACAATGCAACAAGATTTTAGATCAGAAAACCAATCAACGTTGGATATCTTTTATTGCAAGGTTTTTATGAGAAAGTGATCCCTTACCTTTCAATATACTTTAGCTATCTGTGAAGTTTGGTGCCCTTTTCTCAACAAAGGCTGTCATGCCTTCTTTGCGGTCATTCTGTAATAAGAAAATGTTGAGTTGGTTTACCCTCTCAATTAATTATCAGTCTTTTCTATACTTCTTTTAATGGTTTCATTACTATCAGTTTTGGTGAATTTCAGATTTAATAATCATCATATTCTAACTTCAACATAAAATCAGAACCATATACATTCTAGTAAATTTTCCTTTGGTAACTATAATCACAATACACAAATGCTTGCATAAAATATACTATTCCAAACACTTACTGTGGCAAATGTCCCGTGGAAGATACGCTTTTCAAAGTGGAGTCCCTCATTCAAGGATAATTCTTGAGCTGCAAAAGACCAAAATATGAATAATTCTGAACCTGTCACATATGGCACCTAATGCAATTAAGATGAAGGTTTTATATATATCTATATCTATCTATCTATCTATCTATCTATATATATATGCTTTACAGTTTACTATGACAAAAACAAATACATGATTATTTAAAGTGTAAAAAATCTAATAGTTACATTTGTTGACGGCCTCTTTGCACATGGAAACCACAAGTTTTGAATGCTTTCCAATTTTTTCTCCAAGCTTGACTGCCTCATCGACTAGTTGGTCAGGGGGGTGAACAGAACTGACGAGGCCTACAAAAGAGATAAGAATCAGGAATCTGAAATATGTTTGTAATTAAATACAGTATAGATTTAAACCTCACAAACCTTTCATCCTTCTCATTTCCCATGATAATTATAGGTTCTATTTACATTCATCACTGCCTACACTAAGATCTCAGTCTGATAATGTGATCCTATATCCCAAAGAAGCATAATCATTAATCTGCAGCCTCATTAAAAGAAAGTTTATTGAAGATTTTAAGGAGAGTACAGGCACTGGTCTTAATAAAACCATTTAACCCAATAGGCACAGACAGCAAGAATACATATCAAGCCTACTTTAACATAGGTTTATTTATTGTATTTCCACACAGATGGCTCAACAAGTGCTTAATCACCAAGGAGTCAGTTATTAGTCCTACCTATCTCACCTGTTTACCCTTTTCCTTGATTTTTTGAAAATACCTTTTGTATTATTTAATTGTCTTTAATATTATTAAGACCTTAATAACAAAATAATCATAATATCAATAAGAACAATAATGGTATTGATATTAATAGTATCAGAAAGAAAAACATATTTTCCCACTAATTTCAGGAATTGGGAAATCAGGACTGGTCACTAGGTCCTACTGATAGACTTCTTGCTGGCTGAGCACATGTGGAACCATATGTATGTAACAAAATTCACTAAAAACTACAGGGGATATTACATAAATCTGTGGTGACTGGGTTAAACAAGTTTATATGAGGTCATGTTTCCTAGGATATCAAGCCAAAACACAAGATGTGATGTTTCAAAAGAGAACATTTATTGTTTCTGATATGTTATTTCAAACATTGCAAGGAATGTAGTAAACTGGTTAAAAATATACTGTTCCATGTTTCTGCTGGAAACAAATACCTTTCCTTGTATTTGCAATCAAACTGTATATGTGAAACTGCATCACAAAAACAAGTAAGATATGTAGTTCAACATACAGTTAATACAGCAATTAATGACATTTAATTTAGTTTTACAATAAAAATGTAACAATATTTTTTGAGTCTGAAGACTCAATGCCTTCAACAGGAGATACTATTCATTAGGACATACATCATGATCCTGTGGAACTGACTTTAATGCTTATATGTAAATTTCAGCTTCTTAAATGGGTTCCTTTTTACAGTATGGATGCACTTAGCTGGGCATATTGGAGATGATTTTATAGAGGACTTACTCAAAGGTACTACAAATGACACACACACACTGGAATTTCTCCCAAATTTGTTCTATGCATCTTATGCTTCCTTATGAACATCTATAACTAGCAATTTCTTACCCCAGGCATCTGCTTGCTGTGCTGTGATCATTTCTCCGGTAAGACACATCTGCATGGCACGTGACTTGCCAATGGCCCTTGTCAGGCGCTGGGTGCCACCTGCTCCTGGGATGGTGCCAATTGTGATTTCAGGTTGGCCAAACCTATATCAACATAAGAGCATAATTATGCATCATTATTATCATTCTTTTACCTGCCTTACAAGAACAGAAATTTGTGTCCTTGAATTCTTTTATAAGAAATTCCAAATAACAATAATAAGCATACTTTTAAGAAAATCAAGTACTGAAATTAAACAAGAGACAAAGAAAAAAAAAGAAAAGAAAAAAAAAGAAAAGAAAAGAAAAAATTCACAAACAATAAATAAACACATGATAAATGAAAACTCACCTTGCCTTCTCTCCAGCAAGGATAATATCGCACATCATTGCCAGCTCACAACCACCACCCAAAGCATATCCATTCACTGCAGCAATGACTGGCTTCTTGATCTTTGTGACTCCATTCCAGTGCTCCAGGAAGTTAGACCCAAAGCAGTCAACATAATGCTTATTCTGCATCTGCTTAATATCAGCACCTGAAATTCACAAAAAAACATTCAATTAACTAAAAAATATAAAAATCTTTTGCAAGTGTGTAATATTTTTTTTTACAACTTTTTGCATCCTGAATCCCAACTGGTTCATGAAAGATCTAAGAAAAGCAAACTTTCCTGAACATTCATTATGAAACAACAGCAAAAGCAACACCTGCACCTTAATGCAAAAATATATGTTTGAAAATTTCTGAATATATATGTATATTTTAAAACATTACATCAAATCAAATCAATAAAAAAAGAG